CTATGATTCTCTGATTCTCTGATTCTAAGGCTACCTGAGTAAAGTCTCATTAACCAAATGCAGTGTCACCCACTGACAAATGTACTACCATGCACCATTGGGGGTGGCACAGGAGTGGCCAACGATGCTGAAGTAAAGACAGTGCTGTAGAGGGAGACCTTCAGGGGAAACACCAGTTTCCAAAGGTTCAACAGCATAAGGCAAGGGTGCCAAGACGCAGGTAGGAGCTGAAGAACAACAGGAGTAGCAGCAAAACCCCTTTTCCCCTCACAGTACAGACAAAGATGTGGCCACCTTGTGTCAGAGCTCCACAGCCAGGTAATGCCAGTCTCAGATGAAGAGCTCTTTCCAGGACAGAGCAGAGGACACTGTCCTGGCTTGCACAAGAAGTGTGAGACCCAGAATTTTGAACCAAGTAGGGAAAACCAGGAAAAAAAGTTTGGCAACTCCGTGGTAAAATAATCCCAGTGATTGTGGGAACATTAGGGACATGTGACATCAATGGAAAATTCCAGGTGAAAATCAGACAAGTACAGCAATTCTCCCTATCAAATAAAAATCCAGATGCCAGATTTTTGGAAATACTTACTTGATTTTAGTTCCTCTAATTCTGGAAGCTCTTCATCTAAGTAGCGCGACTTTACCCAGTGCTTCCAGGCGTTTACACCGTATGCGTATTTGAAGGGAAAACTGCACTCTGAGTTTTCAGAGCTGTCATCGTGAGACTGATATTCAGACACAGCTTTCCTCTTCACCCCCTGCCATTGAAACACAACACAGTGATTCACACCACTGACAGCCACTAACAGCACTAACACAGAAGCTGGGCAGAATGAGCAAGCTGCAGGAAGTTACAAACAGTGCGTTCAGTGTAAAGGACGAGATGCTTCATTCTGCAGGTAGCTGCTGTGTTGAACAGACTCCTAAGGACAGTACTGACTTAAGCTGACAGATCTTTCTAATTCATCTTTCCAACTGGTTCAGAATAATTTTTCATAATGGAGTTGCTGTACTGGTTATATTGTATTAAACAATAAACACATGATGCACTAAATAATTAAGTGTATTTATGCATTGTGTTAGTAAGCAAGAAGTTAGACGCTACAAATTATGTCAGAAGGTCAACTTTTAGGCTCCGCTGAACTCATCAATGGAAAAGCCAGCATTGGTCCTAAATTAAAACACTGGACATGGGACATAATAATAATGTCCAGCAGATAATACCAAGAGTTTAGACTCCAAATCTGAAACTATAAAGACATGTTTACTCTTCAAAAGTTTTACTAGAAGTTGGCTGGTTTATTTAAAGCTGTGGTATCTACTGCAGTTCTTGCAACAAATCTATTTCAGCTTCTGCCTAACACCAGAAACTATTTCCTGTTAAGTTTCTTTCTAAATGAAAGAATCTGGCTACTTTATTTGCAAAGTCTAAACCAAGATTTTTTTATTGAAAATGAACCTGGGAAAATGACAAGCAAATTAAAAAAAAAAAAAATTAAACTATTTCATATAGCAGATGCTGTAGTTCCCATTATAAGCCATGGTAATACCAACATTCTTCCATTCTACTATCGAATTAAACCAAGATAGTTTTGTTCAAAGTAGAGTGCAGAAAATATCAATTTATATAATAAAGATAGTACAGTAGGTAAAAATAGGCAGTAACACATTTTAGAGCAGTATGAGAACTAGAAAAAAAGCCAAAACAACTAAACATGACAAATTTTTGCCCACAAATTTTGTGCTCTTTTTTTTTTTTAATAGCATGACAAAATTACCTTCTTTTTGGGCCGAGGCCTTGGCTGTTCCTCATATTCTTCTCCAAATACAGGAGGTAACAAAAACTCATTTTCTGTATCAAGCTCCTCAGTTGCTGGAATTACATTAACAGTAATTTGTTACATTAACATTAATATCGGTTTAAAAAAAACAGTTAACTTTATAAATGTGCATTAACATAAGGGGTCTGCAAAAGCACGCAAACATTACCAAAGACTAGATTTCAGTAAGAGGAAATAAACCTATTCTTACTTTGAAAGTAAGGAAAAGCTCTCAAAATGCTTATTTCTACATAAATTGTAAAGCACAAAATGCTCAGCATTTTCCAGCACTCTCTCAAATCACTAATGCATCATTTCTTACTATGGACTCTTATACAATTTTTCCTGCCTAGGCAGTCTGTGGTATTAACAAGTTTAAGTTACGGTGACAATAAGCAGCTTGAGTGGAAAAAATAGAAATTAACTTACATTCACTTTTTTAATTCATTTCCATAATTTCTAGCCATAGTTTTATTTTATATAGCACATTATATTTGGTTAAAAACATTAGGAATAAGAATGTAAACTCTTTCAAAGAAACTGGATTTAGTCCATATTTATACAAGTGCTGGAGGTCTAGCTTATGATGGATATTACAGTAATCTTGTTAAACAAATATGTGTCAAAATACTATTTACTTAAAATTTCAGTAGTAGGACAAAGAACTCTGTTTCAGGCAACAGTGGAGCGAGACAACATATGAATAGTTTTAATGTTCCAAGTTCCACCTGTATTCACAAAACTGAATAGGGTTCATCCCTCATTTTGCAATTAGTGTCTCCATTAAAAACTGAATGCTCTTCTGATAAGTCTGATTTCATCACCCTCCTACTCAAGACACCATTTAAACAGGTCCAGATGAAATAGTGCTGACTTGCGAAGATTTAAGAACTCTGCCCCAGACTAAACCCCAGTCTTTCTCCTGCTACCACAAAGAATCTTATCTCAGCAGCACTTCAGTGTCATCAATACCTATTACAAACTGCTATTATTTACTATTCCACTTCCATGTGTCTTTTTTTTTTTTTTTCTTGCATGGTTTTTCATTGTCATGTACCAAGCCTCACTTACAAGAAGGGTTAGAAATCTAGTATGCATCTGGCTAATAAACTTCCTAAGATTAAGGTCAGACTAGCCCCTAGACTTGATCTTTAAAGTACACATACAGCAAACTGAGAAGCCCAGACTGGGCATCTTGTGCAGATACCTATGGCACAAGGCACGAGGAGAGTTTCAGCATCAGATATCAAAGCTATCCAGAACAGATATAGGCGTTACAGGTCCACGAGAAGCTATGTGAAGGGGAGACACTAGCTACAGGCAGCAGCTTTTGTGGATCTTGGATCGATCAGGACACACTATAAGGAAACAGACACTGTTGTCTGCATTCTGTAGAGTGGTAGAAACTGTAATCCAAAACCTCAGACCTTCTTTCAAGAAAGGTCTCAAATTTCCTGCTAATTCAAATAGCCTTCTTCAAATACAGGCATGGGCATTACCAGGATACTAAAAGGTAACGTGCAGCCCACCAGCTTCCAATTTTACAACAAACCTAAGTGAAAAATTTACCTTTTTGTCATTTTTGCTCTAAGCCATCATTTCCCATGAAAATATCTGGTGATTGAAGAATGCATTTATTATGGTTTTCCGTGACAGATGCCATCTGAGTCCTTGAGCCTTCAAAATAGCTTTTCTAAATCCATGTCCAAAACCAAGTGATGCAGTAAAGTTAATTTGTGAAAGGCTTATTCCCCCTTTTCTTTGCATTCTCTTTCAAATACTGTATTTAGAAAGATGGAAGAACTAATTCAGAAGTCCCTAGTTTTGCAAAGACATGACAAAGTTTTTACCTAACAGGCAGTCAGTTGAGTAGACCTTGCAATCAAATGAAGTCCTTCTGAAAGGACGATGAAAACGAGTACAATGGTTGCCCACAATGAATATTTCACAATATTTACTAAAATGACAGAAGAAATACCTCTTGGGAAGTCTATTTCAATATCAAGGTCTGGTTCATATGGAACATCAGGCAAGCTTGTCTGTGCCTCTGTTTCTGAGTTTTGTAGATTTGACTCAACTATCACATCTGTTAAAAAAAAAAAAAAAAAAAGATAAAAACTCTGGTTATTTTAACCAACACACACATTAGTCAAAACAGGACAGATTTTGAAGCTGAGCATTTCTAAAGCTGATTGTTGTGCTCATCACCATCCTCGTTTTTGTTGTTCTTGGGATCTCAGATTTACTTCTTCAATCTGATTTTCTTCACACAGAAAGGATACTTACTAGCCTATCTGTCCTTCCTCATGAAGGTGAGCCAGTAAAGCAAGCGTATAGAAAATCAAATACTGCCAAATCTGGATCATATCAAACAAGCTTGACAAACTTAACTATCTTTTTTATGTAGTTCTCCCCACAACAGAACGGATTTTCAAGTCTGTGAAAGAGATCCTACAAAAGCAAACAAGGCGGGCAGGCAGGTAGAGAGAAATAAAAGCTGGGTCTCTTTCCACCTTCTGGCAAAGACAGATTTCTCCAAATTCAGTTCTCCGCAAACAAGCAAGCTCTGATCCCATACATCCACCCATTCAGCCAGCTGTACCAAGCAAGAGAAAGCAAGGAACTGCAAATGACAACTTTGCAGCACTAGCAAAAACGTTCAGCTTTAGTGGGAGAATGGCAGCAGCTTGGAAGACAACAGGCCTCCTGGGACTGCAGCATCACTGGCCTCCTACATATCAGGCCCAATGCATAAGTTCTTGTAATTTATCAACATTCTTTGGGACATCTGTTGAAAGAGCTTGAAAATAAAAAAACCCAAACCAACTCAAACAAAACACAAACCAAACCTCAAATTTCTCCTGAGTCATAGAAAAACAATAAAACTTAGTTTTTGGAAAAGAAGGTAAATTCTTCTAGGAAGATACAGAGGAGACTTGAGGATCTTGGCAGGCAGAGCCAGGAAAGAGGGGCAAAGAGGTGCATCTGCTGCAAAAGTACTGGCACAGGTTGTGTGGAATTTTTTGATCTTCAGACAACTCTCTTTAAGGTGAGTTGGTGGGATGAAAAGCCTTTTTGGCCTCACAAGCCCAGTGTTCTATCAGCAGATGCATTACTACCTTCAAAGAGATCATACTTACAGGTCAGGCCAATCAAAAATTAAAGTATCATTAGGTCACCTGCTTTTGTTGACACAGTTCCACTTGTGAAATGCATGTTCTAACAGCCCTTGCTTCCCCACACTCAATGTAAAATGTGCCTAACTACGTGTTACTACAAAGAGATCAGAGCCCTGTCATATCCCACCTTGCTCAGAGAAAGTTGTGTTCACACCTACAGCTACAGAGGTCACTTTCCCTAAACTTCTGATTTGAGTTTTTCTGTCAGGAAGAATGGATTTGTTCTGGCTGGTTTTGAGTTATGCTGGGAAGAAAACCTGTGCCTACAAACATGGATGACTGCTTGCCATCAGCTAAGGAGCTGGTGCAAGCAAAGGCACTGCAGGTGTTTCTAAAGGCCAAGGTCTGGTACAGCACACTGAACTCATACAACCGACTTCAGGAAATTTTCTGTATTTCAAATATGTTAAAATGACATTTAAAAATGTTTAAATACTTAAGATTTTAACTTAAGTTAAGAAATCAATAACGACACTGTAGTACTCAAAAAATCGTTCCCTAAATTGAAAAATAAAAGCCCCAACCCTTCCCGTGATTCACACAGAGCAACACATACATCCCAGCACTCCAAAGAGTCAATAACTCAGTAAGAAACTCACTCGTCACGTCAGAAGCTTCAGCTTTTCCGTCATGTTCAGGTACCATCCCTGAAAAGTTCAGTAGCTCATTTTCCAGAGGATTTGAAGGTACTTTCGCCCTCATTTCTTCTATTGCTGCAAGGATTTTCTCACTGCTATCCAGAGTAGTGGGCAAGAAAACTGGAACTGGCACCTGTGCAGAAAGTGAGGAAGAGATAAATAGAAGAGGAAAAAAATATGCTGCAATAAAGCATCAAGAACAGTCTACACAGAAACAAACTATACTCTTCTTTTAAAAGACATAGTTAATACAGATTAGAAACACATCACTTCAGTGTGGGCTAACAAAAAGTGTTGACAAGTTGAAAAAATTCAGTAACTAAGAACAGAAGAGAAAAAGGATACAGAGAAAAATCAAATATGGTAAACTATAGTGGGTCAAAGTAAGAACAGAAGGGACTTTGGAGCTTCAAACCTGTCTGATTATCATTTCAGCCTAACAGTTTGCACAAATCAGCATCCTGTTTTAGTGGCTCACTTTTGAAACATGACATTTTAGTAATTCAGGCTTTTTTTCCCTACTACTTAGTTAAGGTTTGGTACATAAGCAATGACAAATTTAAATTAGAGTTCTGGCACAAGGGTTTTTTTGTTTTGTTTGTTTGTTTGTTTTTGTGGTTTTTTTTTTTGTTTGTTTGTTTTGTTGGTTGGTTTTGTTTGTTTGTTTTTTTTTTTTTTTGTGGTTTTGTTTTGTTTTATTTGTTTTTCTTTTCTTCCTTCTGTTTATCCCACTTGGCCATCACTCTCCAACGCAATCTTTCAGTTTTCCCATTACCAGAACAAATCTTGCTGTTTAATGCTTATTCAGCAAACTCAGAAATATCACTTGTAATTGTTCCTAAAAAGTTGAGCAGCACAAAATTTTCACACTTAAAGCAGGCAAATAGTCCTAAAGAATAATGAGGACATTAAGCACCACTGTTAGATTTCTAATGCTTTTTGAATAAATAGTGCTGCAGCACCCTGCAGTCCTTAAGATGGGGCAGAATGAGTTAACAGCACAGAGTGGCCCCTACATATGCATGTGAACGGGTGCCAATTTAACAAAGAGGCTGAAGTCTCACTTACAGGAACAGGAACTGCTGTAGGAACAGGAACATTTTGACTGTACATGTTCATAGGCACAGGAACATAGACAGGTACAGGAATAGGCACTGGGACATACTCTTTTTTCCAATCATCTTCTATTAAAAGAAAAAAGAAAAAGGCAAACACTGCCAGGTACTTAAATATATTTTTACACCTGCAGTTTAGGGAAAAAAAATCAGAATATTTGCAATATGTTCCAAGAAATAACAGTTAAAAAAATAATTTGCAATGAAGAAATGAGTAGTTCCAGTACAGCTCAAGAGTTACCTGTCTGACAAGATTTTGTCTGCATATGAGGTTTACAGTACGTGGCTTTCGTCATTGTCAAAGGCTTGCAAAGAACTGCCTTGTTCTTCATCTCTCTGTTAGGTGTTGGAGAAGGTGGTGGTGCTGAGCCCTACAGACAAGCAAATAAAAGAATGTGCTGTTGCACCACACTGATTTCAATATAAAGTTCTTGATTTAATGTATCAATTAATACTTTTCATATACGAGATACTGAAGAAGAAGCTCACAACAGCACAACACAACAGCACCAGCTATTTTTTCTTTAATTGCAAGCTACTCAACATTTCTAGTAATGAGCTGCCACTGCCAGGAATTTAACAGTTGTATTTTGCTCAGTCAGGGCCAGCACTTTGATTAACAGCTTCTGGTGGCTCATTTGTCTTTTTTAAAATTTTGCCCTTTTTTTTTTTTTCCACTCGAGATACTTCTAAGACAGTCTTTTTTACATTCTTGTTTAAATAAAAGTGCAATTTAAGCTCCTTTATATCTTAAAAATTTGTGTTAGCTGTAAAAAAGAATTCACTGTAAGTAGCATAACAAACTTTTAGCTCAAGGTCTAACCTTCCTGAACTATGCTATAATCCAAAGATGACATTTTAAAATAAATGTATTCCTAAATAAAATAGTATCTCAAAACAATTTTTGAATACCTGAAGTTTGAACTTCGAGCTCCCCCTGCTGGTTCTACAACAGTGACAACAAATACTTTAGAACATCACAGAATGGTAGAGGTTGGAAGGGACCCCCAGAAACCATCTAGTCCGACCCCCCCACCACAGCAGATTCACCCAAGGCAGGTTACAGAGGAACGCAGCCAGGCGGGTTTGAAAGTCTCCAGAGAAGGAGACTCCACAGCCTCTCTGGGCAGCCTGTTCCAGTGCTCCATCACCCTCACAGGAAAGCTTTTCCTGATGTTTAGGTGGAACTTCCTGCTTTCCAGTTTGTGCCCATTACCCCTCTGACTATCATTGGGTACAACTGAAAAGAGACCAGCCCCAACCTCTTGACACCTGTCCTTCAGATGCTCAAACTGCATCCTTACAATCAATGGGTAAAAGCCCTCTTGTTCCAAACATGCTTTTTGTCCCCTAGCACCTGTTTTAGAGACTATTTTAAGAAAAGACTGTCACTTTTACTTGGTCATGTGTAGTAAGACTAGCCCACATATCCTTTTAAATATGGAAAGTCAGTCGTCACTAAGAACAAATAGACCTTATTTAATAGGCAGACATTTTCTAAAATACATTATAAAATACTGTATCACAAATACCTTTTATATTATTTTTAAAATTTGTGGACAGAATTAACATCATTGGAAACTATTGAACATAAAATAGTAAATGTTTTTAACCTGACAGGTTACCTTGTCTGATGTCTCTAGTTACCTAAGCAATATTATTTTCTATGTTTTTCATTAATATGTTTTATAAAGTCATCAAAATAATTTCACTTAAATCTAAGATTTACCTTATAGAAGTCTATTTTCATTTAATAGGTGAATAATTTTTTTCATGGAAAAACTGGCATTTCTGAGATCTTCCATGATGTCTTCCAAACAATCAAAACAAAACTGTCAAACAAAATACACTAAGCTAACCTAAAAAAACTATTATTAATACTTCTGACTAGCTGACAAAAACTGAAACTGCTCCACTCATGATCCCCACCCTCCCAGACAAGGATCCTGCAAAAGGTTATGCTTCCCTGCTCTATCATCTGCAGCAGTGTCAATCAGACCTTGAGCACCAATTATTCTACTCTTAAGAATTATAATTTAAGATCTGAAGCTTTCTTTTCAGCCTTTCAATGCTGAGATACCAGTTGAATATTCTAACTGATCAGTGAAATTCTCTTCCCTTTCTATACTGAGTAAATACACCCAAATAGGCTAAGCATGTTGAGATACACATAGTTTGTGGATCAACTTTTAAGCAATGCTTTCAGGCACTATAGATGTAAAATACATGGCAGATGATTTGGTTTCCCAGAAGACATGGAAAAGACAAAGTATTAACATCTAAAAATTTAATTTCAACTACTAATGTGAAAAAGACTAAAAAACTCTACAAACTTAGCTTAGTATCATTCATAGATACTAATTTGGGAGGGGTGGGGGGAGCGGGTTGATAATATCCATTTAAGCCACCAGGATCTCACATTTAATTACATTATATATATATATATGTTAAATATATGTACTTACTGATATTTTTGTTCGGGGGGTTTGGCAGCCCTGATCTAAAAATGTAAGAGAACAGTTTTAGATTTTTTTATTTTCTTTTTTCAGAATCAAAGCAAATTTCAGTAAGCAATTCAGATAACTTCTATCATGAGGACAACATTAAATTAACACCATTGATTAGTACTGTATCACAAGTGAGAACTGCATGAAAGAATTCCCATTCACAGGCAGTTCACTACTCCAGCACTGAACCTTACACAAAGGCAAATGCTAAAGCAATGATCCATCCAGATATGAATATGGCCTATTTCAGAAAAGCAAATAAAATGTGCAAATGTAAAAATGGCCATACGAAGAAGGTGTATCACTATAATTACATTAATTAAAAAGCTGATTTATTTGAACTTTGCCTGACTTAACATTTAAATCACATAAACAAGCATTCATCCCCATCAATGTACCCCCCAGGTACATGACTATTGCCAACAGAAAAAAAAAAGTTAAATATATTCCTTTTATGTAGGTAATTTAATTCCATTTTCATTTAGTTTCCATTTTATTTCCTTTTAATTCCATTTTTCTTTTTTTTCCCATTCCTTGTGCATTTATTTGTATTTATTTTGTGACCAAGAAAGAAATTTTTCCACAGAGCAAGTAATGACAAACCATAACACAATGAAAAAAGAAAAAACTCCCCATGAAGATACAACTCTAAAATTTTGCCTAACCTCTAAAGATTTTTTTTTTTTTACAGAAGTGGTTACAAAACTGATTGATTACCTGACAGCATTTCAGCTCTTGAAAAAGCAATATAGAGCTAAGAGAAAAAATAGCAAGCAGCTCAATTATGTCTCCCATGATAAAATAAAATAATCACTAGCAGAGTTTATTACACCAAATAAATAATTTGTGCAACTTTAGATTTTTCCTGTAAAGGAAACACCTTGTTTGCCATTTAGCAACCACCAAGCAGCACATACCGTAGTGTAAGTTCTCAGGTCCTTTTTGTGTTGCCAGATTTGGTTCGTTTTGTTGACAGTAGAAACGGAGCAAACAGTGCTGGTCACAGAAGTGTTTCATTTCACCACGCCACTGCACCTTCTCCTTGAGAGTTCCTTGAGACTTACAACAGTCACATCGTGCAGCCTTAATGCAAAGGAAGATTTTGACATTTTTAATATGCCTTGGGAAAAAAAAATTCTGCATTTTAGAAGGTGTAAAAGTACTGAGGAATCACTAGTGCTACACAGTTAAGTCTTTCTCATGTAGGCTCTATGATAGTTCCACTACCTTCTAACCTGTGTATACAGGCACATCTGTCACTTCATTTTCAATTGTTTGCTGGGGGTTAACACCCAGAATGAATCTGCTTTCTTTGACCAAGTCTTTATTAATTCTTCAAAAATTTACTTGTAGACAGTAAGCAAAAAACGAACGTTCTGTATCAATTTTAATTCCACTGAAGCATTCTACAAAAGAAGAGCAGAAAGTGACTGAGACTCTTTAATGACTTTTTTGAACTGAGGATAAGTAGAGTTGGTAGTTTTTTTGTTTAAGTCACAAAGTCACGTCTCTAGGTGTTAAATCAGAGCCCTTTAGTGTAAATAACATTTTCGTGATTTTAGTAGTTTGACAAGAACTTTAGATTGCAATAGTTTCGTTCATCATAGTTTCTCTATGATTTATAAACAACAACAGCTCTCAAACTAAAGAGGTTTCCACAAATTCAGGTTAGCACATAACTTGAAACTCAAAAATTTGTTCTTTTGTATCCCCAGCTAAACATTGAAGTAATGTATCTTTCACCAATCTGTGTGATAATTTCATGAGGCAGCACTAAGAAACACATTGCTTTTCTCCAAAATAGATTCCACTGAATTTAATCAGCTATGCTATAAATTAACAGTGGTAGCCAGTTTCAGATCTTCAACTAAGCAAAGAGCTGTTTGCACTACTACTCCCCTTGATATTGCTTGCAACCTCCACCCTAAAGTAGTCCTTAAAAAAAAAAAAAATTCTCTATGGGTGCTCGAGAATCCAAAGTAAGTCACCTCAATAATACAGCCAGGAGAGGAAGAGGGAAGTTATGATAATATGCAACATGAAACATTAATATGTAAAACCACACACAACACTGCAGTTATGCACAAGGCTCCAATGGCTAAAAAAAGTTCAACTGTAGTTCTTGACAACAAAAAAAACTATGAACAGGCCAACTACAAAAAAACTATGAACAGGCCAATGTTAATTAAATGTCAAGCTCCTTCTCTGGACTTAAACAGTTTGGCAGCATCCTCTGGCAATATAAAAAGTGTAGGAAATTTAGTTGGAATTTCTCAGTTGGAATTTTCAAATATTTCAGATGATATACAGAGAGACCTGATTCCAACAGTACAACCAGGTTTAAATTGAGAGCAATTAAAGCTATGTCTTCAGGATCACCTTACAACAAGTGCCAGGTGCCCCTGGAAGGGCAGGTACTTCTTTTCCCCCTCCTCTGTGCAGCTGCCAGCAGTAGTGCTTATGCAACTGCAGGGTACACCAGGTCAGGGGCCTTACAGCACTGCATTATCCCCACCCTCCCTCAATTTTTTGTTACATTTGTAATTTTGACTTTTTGCTGATGCTGATTCACAGTTCACTTTGCAGCAGAGATGTTCTCAGTGGAACAAAAGAGCAAGTAAGTCATATTCTTGGAACTGAGTGGGGAAAAACATGAAGTGTAAGGTGTTGCCAAAATAGCCTAGATTTATCAGGGTAGGGAAACTGTGAATTCACACCTTTAATGAAAATGCATCTTCCAAAGCTGTCAAAAGGCTGAAATAGCAGTATAAAAAAAAATTATGTATAATTCACTCTGATTTTAAATCTCAAGCCTACCTAACACTGATTAAGATTGACAGCTGACCCATGTACAGAACAGCCCAGCTATTCTGACCTGCTGCACACTGTTTGACTAATCAAAGCACCACTTTTTTGAGCACTGCTCAATTTCTTTCTCCTTTAAAGAAAGAAAAAAGTGACAAATCTTGTCAAATGAAGAAACTACAGCCTTCCTGTAACTGTTTTCTCCCCTTCCTGTTTCTGTTTTTTCATTTAGGCCTTTGAGTAAGTGCATTGTTTCCTCTCTTGGGCTGCTAAAGGTATTTAGGTGAAATAATTTTCGTTTGCTTCCACATAGAAATTATAATTCCTTAGCAAGCCCAAAATGCCTTTGTAAGGAAGCTTCACTTCTCATCCCAACATTTGCTACACTGTAATTCTACCTTGTCTATAATCATGCTTGCAGTCAATACTACACATCCTTCCACGCACTGAAGTTTCCTACTACCTGCTTGCTCTCCCCATCTCCCTGACCATGAAATTAACTGAAAGAGTGAATTCATTATTTTCTGCTTCTGCCTTCCTTCCTTTCCATTTGTTTTCATTTGGAATGCTGACACTATATGTTAATTAACTCTCCAAAATACCTGCTTTCAAGTCTACTCTTTTTGTTTCCAAAAAGTCCACCTGTACTCTCTGTACTCCACTTGTACATGACTTCTTTGCCACTCATGACTGCTTTATGCCCACTTCTTTTTTCAGGTCCAACTTCAACATGTTTAAATGGGCATGATTATTAGTATAAATTGCTAATGTTTACCCAAAACTTGGTTTAAAAGCAAAAGTTTCACATATGGGGCTTTTATTTACATTTTAAATCCTCCAATGATATGTTTCTAAATGTTCTCTAATGGTTTGCACTGATACTAATTTGACCTAAACTTGTTTGTGATACCTAATAGTCAGGTATTGTAATAGTTGTCTATTCTGAGCTCAATCTGCAATAAATAGGAAGCAAGGGATGTATCCAGAGAGTGAGTGATTAAAAGAGAAAAGAGATCAACTGTTCCAAACCATACCTACTTGAAATTGAGATACCCAACTATACAGTGGCTAAATTCAGACAAGAGAAATTCCACAAGGTTATCTTGCTGCCTTTACCATTTAGATTAAAGCTGACTCCATTGTTCCAAATTCTACCACTGCTGACAATCATTGCTATCTGAGCTCACCAGCCTAAATCATTTTTCTGTGCCTCAGACTGTAGTTCCCCACCTCCTACTTGGTCTTTGCTGAAGACACCTTACCTCCACTGAACAGACAGTCATCACTGTACATGCTCAGTCCAATCAATACTCCACCTGTAGCCTTGAATGACCTGTAAGCACATTTCAGCTGCAGTATTTTCAGCAATGTTTCATAATGTGTATTTAAATAAACAGATTTCTGTGCTGTTCTCTTTGAACTGTATACTCTTTTTCAACATACTTTCAATGTTCTTGTATAAGTAACGTCAAATGATTGAAAACTGTCAAACACCAGGTTACCAAAATAATTACATTGAAATTTCTCAGGCATTTTTCAGATTAACATCCAAACCACTGCATGCCAATGAAGTTTATAGGAGAAGCTCTAGTAAGTTAGAGAGCTAATGTCAAGACACGAAAAACTTCACCTCTTGTTTTAGAGGTGTAAGGACACCATACAATAGAAATTCCTCAGAACTTGGCACCAACTGGTAGCTGTCACCCAATGCATTATTAGAACTGAACTATTCCTTCATATTTTAGTCCTCATATTAGCTTGGAGGATGAACACTTCAAGATAGGTTTCATGTGCTTCTAATGCTTCTAGGTAAGTCTGTTGTGCCTATACCAGTTCTACCTTCTTCTGGCATTTTGAGAAGAGAATTTTGGCATTCAGGGAAGCTCTCCCACAATACTTAACTCTTTTTAAAAGTTGAGGCGTTTCCAGATAATAGCACATGGAAAAGGTGTGTCCATAAAAAAAGTAGACAAAGAAGATGGAGACAAACACTTGTTTAATGAACAAAATGCTGGTGTTAAAACATTACTAGGTTATCACTACTTATTTCTCTTCATGTATACATTCAAACTCCAAGATAAGACTGGACATCTCATAAATGAGACAAAGCTCATACATATGTAACTACCCTTTTAAGAAGCTAACAGACAAAACGGCAAATAAAGTACAAATTTAAGGAGGTGTCTGTATCCTGTCTTCCTCTCTGTTAATCATTATCTATTTATAGCTAGATGAGAACATCAGCTAACAACATACTACAAAATCTAACATATCTAGAGTGACTTTTATAAAAGACAGAGGAGTTACCAGCAAGGATGTAAAGAAAAAAAAGATAATTTTGGCAAAACACACAATTTTCCAAAACTTATTACATGTCTTCTCCATGTAATAAATCCCAGAATTTTATAATCAGAACTGAATTAGGCAAAGGCTTTAAGAAATATTTGAAAAAAATTACAATCAACAATTCAACATCATGTAACACTAGTTCATTAGTGAGTGTAACATTCAAAAAGTAAAAATATCTAACATTTCAGTATCATCAAAAGTCACTAAGTTACCAGGCAAGTCTGTTTAGAATAAATTGCCTTCTCATGGCACCATGTCCAACTCTCCAGTACCACAGTACCAACAGCATTTCTTAAGCAGATTGGATGGGCCAATTAAGTTATTGCCTTATTCCACAGATGAGAAGGATAACCTGAAGTCGGAGTTTTCAAGTAACTGAATCAAAGTACAAGCTTCCATAGAAGTTTATGTACATGAAACTAATTCAGTATGCACATCTCAAGACTATAGTCTTTGCTGAAATCATCAAAAGATTTCTAGAGCACACCAAAGCTTTATTAAGTTCTCTATGAGAAGGCACTTTTTACATAGGGAAAAAGATCACTCCATACCCCAAGATTTTAAGGCAAATAAAGTAAATATTACTGTATGAAGTTAACATTTTAGTAAGTTTAAGAACTATGCAGCCAAGCTTCATCACCCTGTTTCCACATGAGATAGAAGAAACACATTCTGGTCTTCAGCAGCTTTCTTTCTGAAATGCCTAACAGAACCCTACATACAATAATCAAAATAAAGACTTTACAATGTTTGGCTGTAACATTTCTTGAACCAGCCATTCCAAAATATCAGATATGTCTTCAGATTCAGTTCTTTTATAGTAGGTAGATTATCTTGAATTACAGGAATTGTATCTAGCCCTCTAATGTTTCAGACTTTTTATTGCCTTCCAGGCTGTGTACAGTTTTGCTAAAATGATGAATTCTGTACTGTCTGTTTTGCAATTGCATCCATAAATGTAGTTCTTGTTTCGATATTATCATTATAGCTTTCCAGGATGTTCACACCAGAGATCAAATATTTTATCCATGGTACTAATTACAGGTTAAACCCAGCCCAAATTCACCTTTATTTCTTTCAAAAAATGAAAACAAAAAAACCTCTTAATGTGAATTCTTTGCTGGTTGTGCTTCACAAGGTAGTTAAACTTCCATAGATTTAGAAATAGATGCCATCTGTTCGATTTAAACTTTTATTAGCAATCCATTTGTTCTTGCTTTTCCCTTTGGCATCCTTTCCACTGGGAAATGCTGAACAATCAAAGCCTCTGCAGTTCAAACTGTGAGAGAAGGGAAAAGGCAAAAAAGGAGGCAAAAACAGGAACAAGAAAAACTCTGCTAACCTAGTTTATTGTCAGTCAACTCAAGATATCATCCAGCTGCTATAAACAGTGTTTCCAACAACTTGAATAAACATTTACGAAGTTTTGAAAAGAAAAATCGTAGCAGTTCAGGAGAGAAAAAGGGAATTGCAAAGTAACTAATATACATAGGAGTTTCTTTTTCTGTAACTCAAGACTTTCTTGCCAAGTGAATTAATAAAATCAGAACGTAGAAATGCTGATCTAAGATAATTCAAATGATTAATATATTTACTTATTGTGTAGCAAATGCTTTGCTGAAGTAAACAATATTTGCTGCACAGTCCTTGAAATATCCTCACAAGTGCATTTTTGGTTTGTTTAAGTGTGGAGCTCTCGTCAAAAATTCTGAGTTACTTGCCTTGTAGTACCAGTCCTGAAATTTTTTACAGCACTCTTCACTGCAGAAATCTCTCACTACACCATCAAGTTCCTTAGTTGCTCCCTTTTTGCACAGCTGTGAGCAGTAATTACAAGTAACACATCTCAGTCCTAACCGTCTTGCAAAGTCTTGTTTATATAGCAGCTTGCAGCCTGGAAACAGATTTTAAACATTAGGAACAAGGTAATTTTTACAGAGAGATATCACAGTTAAGAGTTAAATATTGAAAATTAAATTAATACAGCAATAGCTAACAACTGGGGCTTCAGACAAATTCAGGTTGCATAATAGACTTTATTGTTAAAAACTTTTACCTGAATACCTTTCCTGCATAGCTCTATGGTTTCACGTGATGTCTGCATCTTTTTCAAAACACTAGGCTTGAATCTGTGCTTATCAAATGCCTGAACAAGCAGTCAGAAAAAAGTACAGAATTTTCTTTTCATATGGATCCATGCAAGAGCACTGACTTGGAATTACATTGCTTGGTCACACATGCTCAGAATGCTAGATATCCAGGCAATTATGAGCAGGTATCTTAAGCTAGACAACATTATCCCCTAAAACGATACCTATCTTCAAAGATCAACTTATTTCTATTGCTACTTTCATTCATATTAACACAACAAGCCACGTAAGGTAACTCATTTTTTAAGAACACTAACAGGTACAAAATGACCTGAGAACTGAGGAGTTTCTTAAAAAAATATAGTTATCAAGTAAGAAATGATGAGTACTGAGAGTAATTATGCAATGACAGGAGTTTACATATGAAATTTATGTAGGAGTTTACCTATGAAATTTATGTAGGAGTTTACCTATGAAATTTATGTAGAATTTGTATGTAATGAATATTCTATTTTTTTATTTTCATGTCAAGTGGGTTGGAATTTTTTTTTTTGTATTTGCTATGCAGTCATCATTTCAAGGTTACCATATTGAGAGCTATATTCTTCCATAATCTGATCCTCCCTCAAGCAAATTAGAAAAGACATTCTAAAGTATTAAACGCATTAAAAGATGAATACTATAGCTATTACACAGGCTATTTTGAGAATATAATGTATTTTAACTACCTCAAATCTAGAGTCTATTCAGCTGATGGCTAAATCATATACCATGGATATCTAATTGTCCTAATTTTACAGAAGAGAACAGGATGAGAAAATGAAGTAACTGTCTATGTTAAACACTGGAGAGATAACATCTACACAGATCTTTAATCTAAGGTATTGCAACTGGTTTTTTTTGTGATCTCCCAAATATCACAGTACCACCAAGACCAGAATGCAAGTCTTCCAACTGCCCACTCTGCTAGGGCATATAGTCTAACACAAGCAGACTTTGGTACTTCTGGGAAGTTACGAAACTCAATACACAACATACATGCTGCACTTCCTCTGCTATAATGAATTTAAAAATACTATCATTTCAATTACTGAATACGTTATAATTAAGTGACTTCTGCTGCTTGTCTTATTAGGGTAAAATTTAATATGTGTGCAACTGAGATACTGCTTTAAAAAATCATCATTAAAAGCACAGGAATGCAAGTGGAAGCTGCAACAGGCAACATCTTCCAAAACCAAAAGGTTATTGATGAATTTTAACTCCCAATGCTGCAAGCTTTGATCACAAACTAAACTTGCTAGCAATGTCAAAACAAGATAATTACAGAATATCATACAAATAAGACACTGTAGGTAATAAATGTGTTATATACTAAAAGAAAGAAACAAAATAGTTTAAATCTGATTCTTTAACAACAGAACAAAGAAAATTATTAACACACAAAACAAGCAGTGCAGACAGAAAATGCCTAATCAAGCAATCATCCTTACAGGGCAACTAATTCAGATCTTAAATACACGGCTCTGAAAGAAAAAATAATCCTGAAGATGCCAGGGTGTGCAAACTATTGGTTGAAAGTAGTCATTAAAGCACTGAAAATTTCTTGCCAGTATTTTCTCCTGCTGGCTGTCTCTCTTATTATTATATATGGCATCAGAGTCTTTCTATTTCTTTACAATTCCAGAGATTGCTCAGCACCATCACACACTTTCCTCTGCAGTTGTGCATTAGAAGAGACACTCAATGCTGCACCAGCCTTCCAAGACTAGGGATTAGTAAAAGCACTCTACTACCAGTCATGTCAGCTATGTGCACCAGGCTAAATAGTCTACAAACAGCTACCAGGTAAAGAAATTTTCCATTCTACAGTCAAACACGTCCCACATCTCTGTGACTCATGGCAAATAATGAGCAGTGAACATTAACTACGGAGAAAAAAAACATCCCAAATTCCAGTCCTTAGGACTTAATACCTGAAAAACACTTTTTTTTTTTTTTTTTAAAAATCTCTGACTGCAGGGCTTCTTGCTGAAGGTGGTCTCTACATAAAACAGAAAATCCATCTTTCTAATACTTCAGATGTTGACAGAAGGTTTTTACCACCCTGAAGACTTCTAAAATGGATGTATGGGCTTTTCTTTCTGCATCATTATGAGCAAAATTCTTCAAATTTGTCCATTTTCTGTGTCTTTGTAATAGGTATCTTGGTCCACCTGATCAGGGAACAATTGGTTGCTTCAAGATCTTGTCGCTTTGGACAAAGGGAAAACAAAATGCTTTTCTTTTTATAGCATGTATTTTTATTAAGGTCTTTGGTATTCTGTGCATACCCTAGGATATAGCTTTTTACTACAATTTTCACTGGAATAATAAGACTTTCCTTCAAGTATAAAAAAAAGTATTTGGCTTTGTCAATACTGATTCTGAGCTCAAATAACTTGGTCTTCGTGGTGCACAATGCAAATCCTGAATCAACAGAGCAGCAGCAGCATCTATACTGGCTTTGTAGATGTCACCAAGAAATGGGCTTTGACTAACAGAACATTGTGGATGAGTAATACAAAAACCAACGGTTGTCTGACCTTTGTAATATCAACACTACAATAGTGAGGGTCTGGCCAGTCTAAATCCCCTTGGGCCTTGGGGTTCATGAGTACGAGTGCTGTAGGAGACAAAAACCTAACAGCCCCAACATTTTGAACAAAAAGATATGAGTCAAGTCCTAAGTTACTCAGAACTTCTGTTGCAACACTAAACATGCAAGTTACAGTTTGACCAGACAGAAATCTCTAGTGCTATAAAGTGATTCTAAAAGAAAACAGCTCTTTATTTCAAAGAAAAATATAAGTGCAGGTTATTTGATTCAAGCTACACAGGTAATCAATTATGTACTTTAGTAAAGTCCTGGCGGAAGACCACCGCACATGCCAACTGTCTCAGAGAGACCAGCAAGGAGCATTTTCAGACAAAATATCTGTAACTCAAAATCTGAACCAGGCAAAAGAGAAGTAGCTGAGTACCTGCTAAATCCACTAACTTATCATTAATGATATCATTAGAATTCTGGATTCCAAGCAAAACCAAGACAAAATCTATTCTTTCCAACAGCCCTGAACTTTGCTTCGCCACAAAAACTGTAGAGAGGTAATAAGGATCTGAACATGTGCAACAGAGGCTTACTGAGAGGGCATCACATGAGCAGCTCCTCCAAACCCTTACTTCAGGCATGTTCCTATGAAGCTTTTGAGCTTTTTTTCTCTTGTTAGACCCAAGAACTGCCAGGTCCAGTCCTACAGGGCTACCCATGATAGGAAACACGCAGCTGTGAAAAAGAAATGCTGCACTGGAAACACTTCCCAAGTCTTCAACACTGGTCATTCTACCACAGACAAAAACATCTTTTCCAGAAAATAATTGTTCCATCCTAAAAGCAGTTAGTTTTTTTATCTTTGAAAAGCTGTACTTCATTAACTACCTTTTCTCCTCATTCAAGCTACGTACAAGACTTGCTGCTTTCTCATTTTGTAACTTCAGCTGTTACTCTTTAAGTTCATCTGGGGAAGAATAACAACAGACCTGTCATAGCACAAGCCTGTAGTATCAAGAAGCCTGTAGTATCACACGCTAGGTCTTGAAGATTTCTGAAGTTATGTTCCATTCACATCTCTTTCCTGCTTCCCTCTGTATTGATACAAGTGCAACAGCTGCTTCTTCCGTACCCACATTCCCACCATCTGTTGTCTCTGGCTTCACAATAAACATTACTATCCTTAAGAAAATAGATGCAATGCATCCCATTTTGGGTCCTGCTTGGATTACCATTAAAATGGACCCCATCCTCTCTGTGTAACACTTCCTTCCTTGTCTTGTGTTCTGCTTCAGAGCCATTACTATTCAACTCAACTTTTATACATCCTCAGTTTATCCCAGTATTTTCTGATATTAAACACTAGCTTCTTCCTCTCTCCTACTCCAAATTACTCCATTTTCGCATGTTCTTAAATCTTTTGAAGCTGATTATTCTTTCAGGTTAATAAGCATCTTTATAAGCTTTCTTCTTCTTGTGCTCCTAATCTCAGCACCTTAAATTGTCATCACTCCTTAGCTGCAATAGCCTATCCTGTCTTCATTTAAAGAACTGTCTCAAACCTCTTCAAAGACACAACAGTGGAATTAACACTGAAGAACATCAATCTAAGGACCACTGTTGTTGAACAGTGCACAGGATTTCACTTGATATTCTTTACCATGTTAAAAATTAACTCTCCATGAATAAAAATATCAACATTCAGCACAACTGAAATTAAGGTTTAAATGACGTTACTTTAACTGCATCACTGCTCTTCCTCTACAGACAGAGGAAAGATAAATGTATGATCTCTTCCTCAGTGTAGTTCTGTCTTTTGACTTTTTAAACTACAAGAACGCTGCCAGAAATATCAGAATCCTGGTTAACAAATTAAAATTTCCAAGTCATTCCAGAAGATGTGCATCCAACAAGCACTAACTGGAAACTAGATCTGTACTTTCAGACTCTCCCACAAGTGGAATACCACAAGAACTAACTCTCCAGCTCTTCCATATGTGTTCGTCTGAAACACTGTTTGCCAGAACATTCTAACTCAGCACCAAATAAACCTTCAAAAGAAAGCTACAAGGAAGCTGACATTTCAGATTAGACTATCTCACAGTGACACTGCCAAAGGAAGTGGTCAGAAGTAAAACCAGACTAACATGGCAGGCCAAAGCTGAAAATGCACCACAGTAAGCACAAGTTATTTTAACATGGTAGGCCATGGTCAGAGCTGTAGAGAGGGAGCTCTGTGAAGCACAAACCAAAAGGCTTATGACAGAATATTTTATTATGCAGTACACTTAACTGCAATAGGAAATTTTACTTTAATAAATATCATCTTTTCCCCTCCATACTACTTACCAACTCTTGATAGCTTTATGAGTTCCTATTCAAAGCAGCATGCAGTTAGGAAGTTGTAATTACAACATAAAATTTTCATTAAGATAGCTCTTTTATTACTGTATTAAAAAATTCCTGTATGCTAGCCCAAATTCTGTACATTTTATTTTTGAAAGTGTATCAGCGTCTCTATAAATAGCTGGCAATGTAAACTATATATATAAAAAGCTGTGTTTAAACAGCTTCTGTAGCTCTCACGTTCGGTTTTGTTGTTGCGAAACATCAGGAATGAAGAGGTTCAAGCAGGCTTGATGGCAAGCCCCTTTGCCTAGGGAGCAGAGCAGCTCAGCACAGCAGGGCCAGCATGGCAACCTGTCTTTAGGGCAATCCCTCACCTACCAGGGAAGCCCAGCAACTCAAAGTCATAGCAACACTTTGTATCACACATCAATTTTGAAACCAGTTTGTTAGTGTTTCTAGTAACAACTGGAATTGCTATAAATTTCAGGTAGTATCTTAATTGGTCATCAAAAATTTGTATGTAAACACCGGTATAAAATTTTAATACACACATGTTTAGGCTATTCCAAATACCTGTAATGTTTTCACATACACCTAAAAATTAATCAACTAAACATTTAACAGTATACTTTACCAAGTAATCAACTATGCAGCAGTGACTGGAAAAATGCCACTCTTAAATCTACAATGCTTTAACTAAACATACACCTTCCCTAGACATACTCAGTTCTGAAATCACTTTATTTCCCAAATTTCTTTTTCCACTTGTCAGCGGTACAGTATTTCAAAAGGGGTTATCTCTATTTAGATGAAGCACCAGAACTGTCTACACTGAGTTTAGTTTGCAGAATCCATAATTCCCAGAAACTTATGACCATACTATCAAGATGACAGTACAGTCACTAGTTTCATAGCTGTCTTTTATCTCTACTGTCCCTTTGAAGGGAACCCCCAAATATCAGAGAAGTAAGTCACTCCACAGCTTACTGGCCTTCTCCTTCCAAGAAGCAGACTTCTGCATATGAATCAGTGTTTGTAATAATTTTGTAAAGTGAATTTTAATAAGTCTGTGTTATTTAAATCATAACAGTTCTATTGAAAGAGATTAATTAAATGCAAAGTAAGTCTACAAGTAAAAAAAGTTATGGCGATACTCATCATAAAACAGTTCCACTGCTAGATTGCCAAAGACTGATTTGTTCTCCTAGACCCTCAGAAGGGATATATATTAAAAAAAAACCCAAGAGCCAATAACTTGAAGACCTCCTGAGGGCTAAACACTTGCACAGCCTACCCTCAGTTGTCACTCATGCAACTATACCTACGTAGGAATGCACAAGCAACTTTGATCTTACTGCTTTAGCATATACAATAGAGATCTTATTTAATTTAGGTACTGGTATTAAGATACTGGAATGAGGCATTCTAGTGGCAAAACACCAGGACGGTTTAATTTCCAAAGCCTCAGCACCAGGGGAACAGAATAAACTCTTTCACCTAGTCTGTTCAGATACTAGGTTCCTCCTGCTAGTATCCGAATTTTGGACAGAAACAGAAAAACCATACTGCACTCCGTGGAAGAATTAATAACCATCTTCAGCACAAATGAGAGGTCAGTTCTGGTTATACCTTATTTCAATGGAAGATTCAGCTTCATTGCACATATTTTTAAATAAGATAAACAGCCAAAGAAACAGAGTTGGAATGAAACTGTACAGAAATACTGATCACAGAGACTTTAATGTGAGTGCCAGGGTTTGTGTGTAAATATCTATGTATGTGCATGTGTAAGCAAATCTCAGATATGAAGAATGTGAGCATAGGAATAACACCTTCAGTACTCCAGCTAGGCAGGCGTGAGCTGTCAAGGAGTACCTGTGGTTGATCTTACACCTGCTTTCCCACCAGTCTGCTTGAAGATGAACAAATAAGCACTCTTTTGGAAGCTTCACCCATGTTTAACTTCTCTTGATTTTATCTAGAAGCCTTCCTTCTTTTAAGAACACACATCTGAAACTTCCCAGTATTTTCCTCCTGAGTGTTCAGTTTCTTCCAAAAATTACCAATAAATTTTGTGACTGAACACCTTAGGTTATTTCTCCTCAAACTGCAATACATTATTTTCTAGTGAAGAACAACTGCATGCTCAACAAAATAATCCATATTGGTGAAGTTCCTTGAACACTTTGCAATATCAAAACCAGCATGACCTCCATATCATAGAATCATAGAATCATAGAATCATAGAATCATAGAATCATAGAATCATAGAATCATAGAATCATAGAATCATAGAATCATAGAATCATAGAATCATAGAATCATAGAATCATAGAATCATAGAATCATAGAATCATAGAATCATAGAATCATAGAATCATAGAATCATAGAATCATAGAATCATAGAATCATAGAATCATAGAATCATAGAATCATAGAATCATAGAATCATAGAATCATAGAATCATAGAATCATAGAATCATAGAATCATAGAATCATAGAATCATAGATTTACGTATTTGCACCCATTACCCCGTTGCCTATCACAGGTCATCACTGAAAAAAGCTTAATTCCATCTTCCTGACACTCACCCTTTACATATACATTTACATATATATACATATACATTTGTAAGCATTGATGAGGTCACCCCTCAGTCTCCTTTCCTCCAGGCTAAAGAGACCCAGCTCCCTCAGCCTTTCCTCATAAGGGAGATGCTCCACTCCCCTAATCATCTTTGTAGCCTTACTCTGGACTCTCTCCAGCAGCTCCCTGTCCTTCTTGAACTGAGGGGCCCAGAACTGGACACAATATTCCAGATGCGGTCTCACCAATGCAGAATAGAGGAGGAGGAGAACCTCTCTTGACCGACTAACTACACCCTTTCTAATGCACCCCACAAGTTTATTTTGTACATCTACTAGTCCTTCTACTTAGCGAACAATTGGACATATTTCTGGGAAAAGGCTATGACATCATGGCATAACTGGTGGTGTTTGGGTGCCTGCAAAAGGACAAAGAGAAATCTATGACCTCTGATCACGGAACCTCTATTTGCTGACCTCCACTCAGTCTATCTAAAGATCTGGCTCGCTCCTCCCCACATCAGATCTAGACACCATTAACTCTGGATTCCACTACTTCTAGAGCAATCAATGACAACCGTCGGTTTTCCTTTAAAACACAGGGCCTAAGTAATTTCTAAACTTCTGTCCAGGTCAGCAGTTTATTTTCACCAAGTAACACACAGGACAGGTCTTTCATATGCATGACAAAGTAGACCTAAGCTACAGCTAGCAGATGTGTGCCGTGTTTATTAATGTTACATTCCACTCAATGGTGTTTTTGATTACCTTCTGACTATTACTCAGTGGTTCAGATCATAGTAAGCCAATAAAGTTCAATAGTAACATTTGGCATATTCATCCTCATAAATATCATCTTTGCTCTCAAGCTGACAGTCCAACACATGCAAAATCAGGACCCACTGGCATAGATTCCCCCCATTTAGCAACTGTAGTTTTACTGTGAGGGAGGGAGTCATAAGTATTCAAAGTAATACCAGCATATACTGTAATCTCCAGGCCAAAAAAAAAAGGTTGCTCTTGGCTTTGAATATATTCTATAGAATTGTTTTATTCACAAAAACAATTTCTAGCTACACGTTATTGAGCACTGAAATATTACACTATAAAACTGGGCCTTGCTTTGTCCTTTTTTCTTCTCTAGCTACCACTTTGCAAGCCAGAACATGAGAACTACATTAAGGATGGCCAAGAAAACTAAGTCACCACACTCCATTCATCAGAAATGAAAGAGTCCAGAGCTATAAGGGAATGGCTGAGAGGGAAGGCTGCCTCCAGCCCTGCAACTCCATCCCTCTCCAGTTTAACAGCATCTGGCTACAAGTAAATTGGCACATCTGTGGTTTCACCTGCTAGAAAGCAGAAATCTTCACCAAGATTTATCAAATGATAGTGAAAGTTATTAATACAACTCAAGACAAAAAATATCCACCATATCCCCCAGTGACAGGTCATCCAAACTCACACTTAAAACTTCTAAAGATCAGGCTTACATACCAGTATGGAAGGACAGCTCACCAGAAGTGGAAAGGGTACATTCTTTTTAAGACTATATTTTGCTGGTTTTACTATAATAATAATTTTAATGCAATTTAAAAGAATCCTATGCCCATATACCTCTTTCTTAGTTTGTTTTCTTTTTGAAAATCCAAATCATTAGTCAGAAAAAATATGATGACAGTAATCAATGGACAACAACAGGCATTACCAAGTTATTTCTTCAATAACCATTCTAAGCCAATATAGAATTTCCACTGTTACATTAAATTTTGAAAATGCTAATCAGAAATCAAGCTTGCATAAATTTAAGAAAAAAAAATTATCTGTATTTTCTTGTGCATATGTATATATGCACCTGTGTACATACGTGTATTTATACACACACACTCTTTAAAGAGTGTTTGCCCACTCTTCCCTAACCTGGATTGAGTGGTGAAATACTCAAAAATAGACCATAAAAGCAGTTCAGATAAATTAACATGTACTTCATTAATAACAATGAAGAAACTTCTGGTTTAGCCTTAAATACAACAGAATGAGATGTTACCTTAAATTCTAACTTTAAACATTAACATACTAAGTCAACTGCAGTAAAATTACAATGACCAATACCTTAGAAAAACCCCACATACATACCTTCACTACAAAAGGGTCTTTTGATGCCAGAGAAATTCACCGTCTCATGTAATGTTTTCTCTTCTTGACAGTATTCACAGTATGTAACTATGCAGTGCAGTTTCTTATAATCATCAGAACATGCTCTGCTGCAGAACTGATACACTTTGTTCTAAACACAAAGCATCACAAATAGGGTTATTGGATAAAATCTTAAGGTCTGGATAGTGCAACTTTAAATAGTAGTTTGCTATCAAGGTATAACTCTAGCATGCAAAGTAAAGAGAAGTGCAAACACACCATTACAGTATGACTTCTACTATTAAAAATTAACAAGTTTCACTCAAGCTGACACCAAGTGCTACAAATACTTACAATTTCATATGAAAACACTAACTAGAAAACATGCCAATCAATATATCATCTTCAGATACTTCTCTCAGCTCATAAAAAAGTGTAACAATGGTCCTTCATATCTACAGTCATACAGTAACTGAAGATGAAAGCAGATTTCAAACTTAGAGCTGTTCTAAGAAACCAAATATTTTAATTCCACAGATGCTTTATTTGTTACTTACGAACAAAAACTTCTGCTTTTACTCATACTGATGTTAAATGATATTCTACAGAACAAGGTAGATTTTATTAGCCATTTTATAAGGTACTCAAGCTTAAAAAATTAACTAGAAAAAATGGCATTTGAGTTACAGGTTTAAACACTTCATCATTCTAAAAGTAACACCAAAACCCCCCTTACCTCCCATTCCAGTACTTCTGGTTTTGAACAAAAGGAACTTTTGCAATAATTACATTTCAACTGAATATCACTGGGAGAGACAAACTGACCATTTGTTGAAGACTGCACGCTGAGAGTCTGAAAAACATAAATACATACACACATCACTAAAAAGTAAAGGTACTTTTAAAATGTCCTTTTTCAATTAACACTATAGTGTTTAAGAGTTTGGAAGTCCATAAACTCAGCAGTATTTCTGGCAAAAGCACAGCAGGTTAGTCTTTTCCTTTAATTCCTTTTCCCTTATCTTAGTTTTTTGAGTATCCAATCTTTACCCTTGCTTCCACCCTAATTACATTAGGTCATACATCTGTCACCTTACCTCTCTAGTGCCTGTTACTTAAGGGTAGCTAAAAATGCCAAAACGCAGTGTCACAAAACCAAACACCTGTTAATCACAAAACGTGTCTTTTCAGATAAATACATGCCACTTCTTGTCTTACTTTGGTCACAGAAGTTCAGACCAAGACCTACAAACAAATATTTTCAAATCCAAACCTCACCAAGGCAGATTATCAACACCTTACTTAAGCATACCACTTGAAAACACAAATACTGAAGTAAAAGGCCTTCAGTGATAAAATCTGCATCTGATCACACAAATAGAAAACTAGCTAGTAGTCCGAGCTGGCCTCAGTCACCACGGCAAGAAGATCAAACATTGTTCAAACAGCCAGCCCTTAAACAAATAAAGGTTTTCAGATTGACAAAAATACTACAGATTGCATGGGTAGGTATGAGAATATAATTCTGTAACTGAAAAATTTACTTAATGCATCCCTGATTAAATCAGCAGACAATGTTACAATATCTGTGGTCTTCCAGTAGGTCTTACATACCTACAGAACATTGTCTTTTGCATATTTCCTAGATCAAGCAAGATCTATGGGTGTCTTACACATGCAATATTTAAGACAAAATTTGAATTAGCAGTAATCAAAGTTACTTCAAGAATCCAGAGGATAAATTTATGTCCATCTTCTCAACAAACTTTCCAACACACCATTTGCAATATGACAAATACATTTAAAGACAAGTTCTCTTTTATTACTACCTCTCTACCTTGTAACAGTGAGAACATTACAGTTCTGTTACAGGACACTTTATTAAGGCTTCAGAGACACTAAAAAAAAAAAAAAAAAAAAAAAAAAAAAAAAAAAAAAATTATTGTGATAGACTTGATTACCAATATAAACCCTCACATAAGAGGACCTGTACTGCTGAGTGCCTGCTAGCAGTGCAAACAGTACCATTTTATGCAGATGCACCAATTCTGCATCATGAGTTTGCAGACATGAAGTAGTCACACACATTTCCCAACCACAGAGAGGACCTGAGAAGAAAATGCCATATACAGCAGAAATGTTGCCACCTTTATCTCAACAGTCCACTGTCCCATAACAATTCAACAGAATCCGATGCCCACATACACTATTGTCCTATTTTTCCCACTATATGCAGCAAATGTCCCAGTGGGTGAGAGAGGTTTGTTAAGACTTTGGCTGCACTAAATAGGCAGCTGAAGACTTGTACTAAAATAGGAGCCACGAAAGCATTTCAAGCTCAAGGTCCAGTCTGTACATTTCTGCATCTGCAGTATTCTTCACAGAGCAAACACCATGCTCAACATGTGCTGCTAAATGAGTTATATAAGCACAAAAAAAGTCCTAGAAGCTCTGGTTGAAAACAGGAAGAAATCAAGAAGCAGGTATACCCACCACCTCCACTTCAGGAATGAAGGAAATGTTAAAGAATGAGATGTGACCACTGACAACAGCGGTAGGAATGAAGATGAAGTATAATGAATGCTCATCAAATGGAAAGCAACTGTATATTTTGATGTCTGAAATTACCTTTAAATATTGGACCAAAATATTCTATTGTGAAGGCTACAAGTTTGAAGTAAAATATTTTGATTTTTTGATGTATGGTACTATCAGCTTCTTTTGTTTCTTTTCCCAATTTCTTGCTGTCTTAGAAATTTAGGCCCTACAGGGGGCTGAACAATAACAAAAGGTAGAGAAGAAAACTGTTTCAAAGTCCGTTCTTGCATTTTAAACTTGTTTTAAAGAATACTTCCATCTAACTGTAGATTAAAAAGAATCTAAACAATTTAAGCGTTACTGCTTCTAAAACAAAACCAATGTTTTTTATCATAAACTCCTAAGGTCAGCAAAGCATCGTCCCATAGAAATCAGTAAAGAACTGAATTCTTAATACTGAAAGCTCTAAACCAAGCAGAAGATGGCTGTAAAACCAACAGTTAGTCACGAGATAATTCTGCTTGCCTCCTTAAAGTTTCTATCATCTTGCTTACAGTTAAGGACTGCTTCTGTGTTGTATTTTAATGAGTCAAGGTAACATGCACACAGTACTGTCACCACCTTGCTCTGCCTCTTAACTTACAAGATGCTTAGAAAAGATAATATCTTTAGGAATTATTTGGGAGCATTGTTACACACAAAGAATAATGGTGCATAAAGATCATAAATTCATTAAGCCCTTTCACAGGTCATCCCAAACAGTAAGGTTTTATCAAGGTTGTGCTTTATCAAAAGTATCTTTGATATCATATATGTAGACACTCTTTTCACTATCTTACATTCAATTAAAAAATAGTTATTTTTAATCTGACTTTTCTTGACCCTGCCCTGAACAACTAGAGCAAGGGAAGTGCCAAGCCAGGCAAAAATTACTGTAAAGGCCTTTCAGCTTTCAGTACAACCACCTCAAACTACTTCAAGCCACCAAACTGCTGATGAACGGTAGGCAGACAGAGCCTAGGACTCTTCTGAGGAGACCACTGTAGTAGTACAGCTTCTGGCACACACCTGCCACTGCAGGTCTTTACTCCAGCAACACAAAACCAAATCGTGGAAACATTTATTTACATAAATGTACATGTGGACGGGCTAATAGGTAGCCAGACCGCAGTAATTTTTTTTTCTAGTTGAGAAAACATAGCTTTATTCTTTTAAAGTTGTTCTTAACATGAAGAAGAGAAGCAAATACGTACAAGGAATCTTTTACATATGGTCATCCACTAGGACTGTTCCACAAGCAAAATCAAGGGCACTAAATTAAATGGGGAAGGAACCAAATACTCCCCTTACACTCATGCACACACAGACCTTTCAGACTCATTGTGGAAGCCAGAATTTTTATTATAATCAAATTTGAAAAAGTATTTTTGTGGCAAGTATGCCAAGGCTCCTCCACACTCCCCACTGCAACATACTCCTTTTTAAAAAATATATGTGTGTGTGTGTGTGTGTGTGTGAGAGAGAGAGAGAGAGAGAGATGTAATGTATGTAAACAAAGAATATTTACAGACGCTGTAATGATGGTGAAAGAACAAAACAGTAGTAAATAACCAGAGTGAGTAACCTGCTAAAAAATATTGCATTTGAAATTCCTACACACACTGGTCCCACAACTCTCTAGATACACCCATAAATGGGGATTTTATTTTGTTTTAAGTCAAAGCTTTAGCACACATCTATCAAAATTTTGCACACATGATTATGCTTTGTAAGATAGCTTGTACATTAAGACACTTAGCTGCTAACGTTGAACATTTGAACTACAGCCTCCATGTTCACAATAAATAAAATAGCAGGTTTTTTTTCTTTAAGTTCAGAGCAAGATTTTCAATGATAGCAAAACTGGCTTAAAACAATATGACTTTCGAACATCTCTATCCTTAACTCTGCAATAACATCCTCCAAGACAGAGCATGAAAAAAAGGCAAGGTACAGTCACACTATTCTACCACCAACTACCAAACAAAAAATCACATCAAGCAGATTGTTCTCCCTCTTTTACTCTCTTTCTTACAAGGATGAATGCTCTTGCAAGCTGTCTGCACAAAAAAAAAAACCAAAAAAACCAAAAAAAAAAAAACAAATATGGACCCAAGTTGCACAACAGGCAGCTCACCTGAGTCTTTAAAGTATTTTAATACATTAAATCTGTTAGTAAAAAACCAAAAGGTTATGAATGAGATAACATGGCAATCAACACTAAACTACTGTAAAAAATTGGGAATTTAAATATTCTGACCCATTTGTAAAGCAAAATGACAAATTCTTGCAGAAGGGAGATAGAGGCCTGAAATGGCACTTATTTCTGTTCTGAGAAGGGTAACCTCTAACAAAGAAAAACATGCACAAAGAACAGACACAGTAAGAAAAAGAGGTTAATACAGTACCAGAAAATTTAAACAGGATTTACCTGTAGTGGTAAGCAGTTAAAAATACAGAGTACCACAGTAAATCAGCTATTTTTTCAAAAGAACATTTCAGAAAGCATTGCAAGTGACCAAATGGGTTAAACTATTTTTTCGATTTAGGTTCAATGCCTTATGCACTCTTAGGCATTAGAAAAAAGGCTCGAGGGAACACTTCCAGTCCAACGCTTGCATTGTGCTATAGTGTCCTCTACACACAAACACCTCATAAATAGAGCAAAGGAGCTGTTCTCCTACAGTTGACTCTTACCTAATGATGAACACATTTTATTCTTCTAGACAGTGATAATATGAACACTATCAAAAGTTAGAATACCACACAGATGTTTGAGCAAATTAACTAGAAGCAAGTGACCACCTACCCATTCTTGGACTTTACTGTGAACTCAAAGATTGCACAACTGCTCTAATTAAAGTCCACTACAACATTAAAGGGAGAGATCTACAAAATGGAACAGAAGCACCAGCAAGGTCTGAGTAAGATGAGAAACCCACAACCAGTATCAACTGACCTGACAGTTCTAGTCAATAATATTGCCTAATATTGACTTATCTGCAAATCCCAGAAGACCCAGACTGTATTTGTCATTCACTAGTTTTATTTTTCTCACTCAAAAAGTAGAAAGGGTTTGTCCTGAGAGCTCTTGGGGCTACAATCAACTGTAAGATCACGTAGAATAAAATAGTTGCCAAATGGATTGGCAAGAAGTGCTACAGATTTGTTACATACTCACAAACTGCATCTATTTCATTAATCAGTTCCACTGACAGACATCTACCAAATTGGTTAGGATGGAAGCACAGAACAGGGCTGGGGGAAGTTCTACCCAGGGTACATTAAGGAAGCAATTAAGAAATTGATTTGCCTTCCACTTGACAGGAAACAGCAAAGTTTAGTGATAAATGGGAAAACCATGCATAGGTATAACTGTGCAAAAACACATGAGGAGGCAATTATCAATTACACAGTGCACATCTGGGAAAACATTTTACATACAAAAATTGAAACATTTCCTTTAAAAATGTTCTTTGATCACCTAGAGATTAATCACTGCAACACATTTTACATAAGCTTTTACCTTAAGTCATATTAAAAAGTGACAATTTCAACAAGCATAGCAGCCTCTTCCAGAGTGCCCACCACTATGCTCGTAACACTCCAGTTTCTAGACATAATTTCAACAGCTAGTTTCATCCACAAACATTCTAATGGCTTAAGCTCTAACCTTTAATTTCAGAGACAGTCACTATTCCCCAAGACACACTGTTGTTAATACAGTACTGTGTTACTGTACTTAGTATAAAGAGATTAAATTTGTTGATCTTCAATGCAAAACAGCAAGGCTCATCTCCATAAAGAGGCTAGGATGGTAAAAATAAGATGAGCAGTAATGCTGCTTTGTGTCGTCTTAGAGTATCAAGGAGAAATGGGTTGTTACTACCTGATTTTATAAGTTTAAGTTAGCTATCGTTATCATTACAAAACGGTACTTTGAGCAAAGAAATTGTTATGAGCCAGAAGCACCTACTATGTTAACTCAAAACATATATATATATATATATACAGGCAAGTTAGTTTAATAAGCAAATACTTCAGACAAACACAGGTACACAAATGTTTAGGGAGGAAAATTTTAACACAACAGCTAACCTGAAATTTAGCTACACAACTGGAACTGCAAAAGTTGTACAGTTTTCCATCAGGCATTGTGGCTTGATATTGAGGTAAAGAGTTTCTTTTACAAAAGTGGCAAACAATTCCCATACCTAAAAGAAAAACGTAGTTTACAAACAAAATAAACACAAAATAGGAGCGTAAAAAAAAATACTGGATTACAGGTCAGCTCGTCCCATCATTTCATGTAAAAACCTAAGATCGTCTGCTTTCCAGCCAGCTTCTACAAGTCACATAAACCAAAAGAAACTGCAGAGGTTTTGCTGAAATCTTCCATAAAGACCAGCAGTTAGTAGGAAATTGCACCACCCTCTATAAAGTTCACTAGAACAACTTCAACTTTAAGCTCGATGAATTGAGATCTATGCTTGTTTTGCATATTGATGAACACAGATGTTATTTACCAGTTCCTTTTGCCCAGATTAAAATATTTTACCTAGAAAATATCCACATACATTGTAACTGCCTCTACTCTTCTCCAGTTGTTGCTTGAGATAAAATGGGGTGGGGCTGGATCACAGAGAAGAGAATATTAATTCATATGCATGAAAATTGTACTATCATTCTGTGACATATCAGAGCACATCATGTGTCAATTTTTTTTCCCCAGAAAGCCTTAAAGCAACATCAAACAAAAAGGCCAGTGGGGAAAATGATCCCTCATGGGTCCATTTAGTAGTGCTGACTATTGAGATGTTTTTCTTTCCTTTTCTTTTTTTTAATAAGTTTAAAAACCCCATGATGTCACACCTACATAGATTAATTCTACAACAAAAGTCACCCACCCCCAGTGTTCAAACTTAAAAAGAGAAGTCTGCTCTTATCAGTGATGAACACCCATCATCCTTTTCACTTACTTTGTGATTTTGCATATTTTGGTTTGTGTGTGTTCATGCATGTAGTTGAGCAGTATGGCTCCATATATCCATTAGGTCCTATGCACTGAGTCATGTCAAAAAATCTGCACTGAGCTCTGCAGCCAGTACAAGATGTTAATTTGCCATATTTCTAAAACATAAAACAAAGCAAAACCATGTATTAGTTAAAACTATGTTTAGCTTCTACTTTTAAGTTATGGTATAACAAACACAAAGGAAAACTTCTTTATTTCTGCTATTTGCACCCCACCAGAACCTTCCTGTATTAACTAGCTCCCATGATCATCCCCCTCAAGAGCATTCAGCACTATGGCTGGGTCTCTTCATCCTGGGGGGAAGCTGGTTAAAACTAAACTTCTGTGTAAAGACAAAAGTCAAACAGTCGACTAAAAAAATCCAAACAACCAAACAAAAGCAGCCACACCAAACTTCACCACCAGCCAAGAGTGAACTGAATTAAGTTCACAAGTTTTGCCGAGTTGGACAGTTTGAAACTGTTCCTCTCTCCTAGCTGGTGGTAGGAAATTAAACAGGAGCCTGGAATGGTAAAGACGAAGAATAAGTGATGGTGCTAAACTCTGAAAAAAATCTGTATTTTCCAAATGATAATATCCTTGATACAATCAAGTATGAAGTTTAGCACTGTCTTGGTAACAGCACTGTTGGGAGAACCTTGTAATTTTACAACCCTCCTAATTCCAGTCCTCCAGACAGGAGACACTTCAGAGTTCCTATGGTCCTCATTGAATCCACTGAGGAACCCTGACTCCACGAACCTGGTAACAGACTCAGTTTTGACATCTCCCAACACAGCAGTCAATCAACAGTTCTCCACAGAAGTGAACAAATGTTCTATGAATAGCATAAAGTCACAGCAAGCAGAAATACCAATAACAGCTTCAAAACACAAAATTCATACTTCTGACCTACTATGTCCATTAAAACAGTTAGGCAAATTATCTCAAGCACCACAGAACAAGTGTCAGAAAAAAATGTCTAGGCACCTTCCCTACCCATAGAAATACTACCATGGCTTTGACACCAATCACAGAATTCCTCATCTGAACAGTGAGGAGTCAGTCTCCCATCAGACAGACTCTCTCCTTATTGCTACTAGAAAATACTCTATTTTAGGCACTTAAGTTTTCTTCCCTTCTATTAAGGAATGATTTTGAGCACTACCTCTGGCTATTTCCCTCTTCTCAAGGACTGAAGGGGGAAGGAAGGGGAAAACATATTTCCCAGGTGCTTCACTTTGTTCAAAGTATCAGAAGCTTCAGTAGGTATTTTTGCTTTTCCTAACATTAACTATTTACATTTGAAAACTAGCTAAATCCAGTCTTAGAGACAGCTAGAGAAAAAGCCTGACACAACATGTATCATCTTCTGTATGTTAAAAACATGTACAGTGAAAAGCAAAAATACATATGCCTCTGCCACAAATCAGGTGTAGCACCTTACAGGGATCAGAAACATTTCAAAACACCGCAGAATTTCACAATTTACACATGCTGCTTTGATGAAACCTTTGCTGTGGATTTCCTCCAAAAAAAGGAGTGGCAAGATATCAGGCTCCTCCCTAGAAGAGGCCATTTTATACAACCCCAGAACCCTTCTTTCCCATCTCACTTAGTTTTTTCCTCTTTGCCTTTAAAAATATTACCCAGAACCTAATAATCCTCCTCATCAGCCACAATATTGACAAACTCCACACTAAGTACCAAGACCAAAATGTTGCAATTATACTGTTCTGTGAGTTGAAGCTATTCTTTCATATTCATTCATATCTTCTGACAGGCCAACAGAAAAGAGCTGGACACCAAGAATACTTTGAGTTATATTACCAGTGAGAACACAGGAGATCACAATTTACAAAGAACTTGACTTCTTGGAACAAGGTTAATGGACAACAACCATAAGGAAAAAAAAAACCAAAACTGTGTGTACACATAGCCTTGGTACTCCTAGAATAAACAAAAATGTTAAACTAGAAGCACTGATGCAAATATACCGACAAGAACCTGAACAGAGAGCGCTCAGGAATATAATCAGAAAACGATGTACAGGTAAATGGGAGCTTTCACAAGTTCTAGGTGCAAAAATCAAATTGAGGTCATGATGACTTCAAGAGACAGCAAGATCAAAATACAGGTTATAATAAGTGAATTTACAGTAAGCTGATCAGAGCATAATTGGAAAAGACTCATTTTGTCAACAGACCACATGTTCTAGCAAAAGCTATTTCTACTTTCAGGGTATTTATGTTAACCAGCATCTCAAATATCATTCACTCCTGAATTTCAAACATCCTTATACTACTGGAATTGTTTACTGATTTCAGCTGGGATCTTTCCAACTTAAAAGCTAGAAGTGGACTCTATTAATAGCTAGTAATAGTCTAGCAAACCTAGATGTAAATTATCAATTCTACAAAGAATGTAGATTTAAAAAAAATACTATCAGTGATGTAGGAGATTCTGTGTGTAAACACAAAAGCATAACAGCAAAGCTCTCACTTTGTTTTTGTCATAGCAACTAAGAACAGTATTTTGAGCATTTCTGCATTATTAGAAGTTTAATCATGTTGCTACACAAGTGAAGGAGACAGGACACCAGTGAAGAAAAAAGAAAAGTTAAGCCACCTGAAACTTCATTGCTCCCAAAACCTCAATCTCCTTCAAGGTTTTTCCTGCGTTTTTATTACTCTCGACAGCACTCCCTAAACTTGGAAAAACTACTCAGAAACCCAGAAGTACAACACTGCCATTAAAAGAAAAATAAAATAATTAAAGCATACCTTAAAGTATTCATCAATCAGCATTATACAGGTCTCTCAAACACTTTTTATGTCTAACTCAAAAGCTTCCTCCACTGACAACATCAACAGAGAACCTCATCCTGTAACATCCCATGGTTTTAGACAGCCATAATGCAAACCAAGAATCTTCTCTTGTTCTTCAGTGTCAACTTTCCAGACGAGACACTCTCTCTTCTCAAGGTTTTCAAGTAACTTACATTTCTGCTCTCACATTCATCACATTATCTTTCATCATCTCTAAGAATCTGCATTATGAATTTCGTTCTGTAGGAAAAACAGTATTTGAGAAATAAATAGAAGATTCACTAAAACTAACAACTATGGTAATACCTCGCGTCAAAGAGCATTCTTGCAAGGCAAGGAGTTTGGGCCTGGAAATACGATGACAATGACAGAACCCAAAAAAGTCTCATGTGGGGCAGCATGGGTCAACCATTTTCTTTTCTAATAAAAACAACTATGGAAAAGTCACAATAATATCAACAGAATAAGTTGCAAAACAAACAAGAGGAGGTAGCTCTTCACACGAACAGCAAGTCAGCATAACTTCACTGAAGAGCATCATGGATAGAAAAACTGCTTGTATGCGTTCACAAGGAGACAGAAGAGATTCACTAAAAACAGCGTACAGGAACACTGCATAAAGTTCAAGAGATCCCCTGACCTTTAGAGAACCAGAAGCTAAGAGAATTCTCAGGGGAAAATATCTTAAGTACTTGCCCTTCTCTTACTCTTCCCTGCATGCCCACTTACATACACTGCAGGAGCCTCAATACCTGATCTGAACCAAAACAGCTGTTCTCATGCTCTTAGCATAGAAGATTTTTCTTTATAGTTGAATATTTTACCCATCTTCAAGGAAAACTGGATGTTCAGAAAATAAATTAAGGAAAACGTAAAGCTGTGTCAATGTCATTGGTATTTCACGGTAGGAGACAAAGGAAAGAACTTTACTGGTAAAGAGACAAACAGAACAAAGAATATCAAAATCTTCATTACGAAGTAAAGAAGGAATACAAAAAAAACCCAACAAACTAATTTCCTGACTCCTCCTTTTTAAAACACACTGCTGCATTCTTTGTTTCAGAAGCGTACAAGCACAGAATCATGTAGATTAGAGGAGACCTCAAAAGGTCAAGTGCAACCTCCTTCTCAAAGCAGTTCCAGAGGCGGTTGCTCAAAACCTTGTCCAGTCAAACCTGAGCCTCACCAAGGATAAGCATTACAAAACTCTGCAGGATTTTACTGTCCTCACAGAAAATAGCTTTTCTTTCCAAGTCAGGTTTCCCCTCATCAAGTTGTGTCTGTTGCCTCTCATCTTTCCACTGTGCACTTTTTCAAAGAGTCCAACCTTGTCCTCTCTATACCCTCCCCATTAGATAACTAATCCTCCTTGAGCCTTCTCAAGGTTCAACAAACTAAGATCTCCCAAACCTGTCCTACTTTGTCATGTGCTCCAGCCCTCTAAGCATCTTGGTAGTTCTCCACTGAACTTGTATCAGTATGTCAATTCCTTTCATCCTGTGGAATCCAAAACTGGACACAGTGCTACAGGTGCAGTTTCAGAAATACAGAATAGTGTGGGTGCAGGGCACAGAAATGACTTCCCTTGATCTCCTGGCTACACACTTGCTAGTATAGCAATAGGCTGTCCAGAGACACTGTGGAGTCCCTATCCTTGGAGACAGTCAAACCTCAAATGGACATGGTCCTGTACAACCTGCTCCAGTGACCCTGCTTAAGCTGGGGGCTAGACAAGATGACCTCCAGAGGTCTCTTCCAGTATCAAGCATTCCGTGCTACAGCCCAGGACGCAGCTGCCCACCTCTGCTGCGAGGGCACACTGCTAATGTGTTGTTCAACTTCTTGTCCCCCAGGACACCCAAGTCTTTTTCACTAAAGCTGCTTTCTTGGCAGTTACCTTGCATTTCAGATGAAGTACTGGCTTCATCTTGTGCACCCCATGGTATTTCGATGGTAGGCAAAAGTAATTATAAACAGAAACCGGCACTTTCAAACTAGTCTGTTTCAACTTTCCTTCAAAGACAGAATTAACTCATTACCAATCCACAAGAGAAAGTATCAAACATTTTCCTTTTATGCACCACTTCTGGCAAACCAACGTACAGTGTCCTATGAAAACATACATTTGCAGTTCTTTAAGTTTGGTAACAAAAATTTTGAGTAAAACCACTGCCATCAAATAAGTATAGAAAACTCCATCAATCAGGCTACTAAGTACAAAAAAAATTAAT